GGCACTGTTTATCTATCAATTCTAACCACAAAAGTGGTTCTTGTTCATATCACAGCATCGGAACGTCATGGGCTTAACTTGGCGCGATTCGGCCCTCGTTTGGGGTCAGTTGGTATCAGATCTCTTTCAAATTGCTCTGACGTTGAGAAAGAAAGTCATATTCGTGACTGGAACGCGCTGAGTAATCTTCCCTTCTCAAGTTTTGTAAATGCGAGGCTCGGATCGTTGTGTTGAAGATCTTTCTGTGCCGTGAAACTGAGCATTCTACAAAGTTGTTTTGAAAAAATCCATGTCTGTGTTTCCATTACGATTGGATAGATGTTGGGGGATCTTATATTTAATGATAGGAGTCACTATTTCCAAGTGAGTTTCCGAATAAGAGTCCTGTCTTCGAAAGCCTATTAATGAAAGAGTTTTTCATCATGACACTGGGATAAGTGGAGCCACCAAGCTGTATATCAACGCCATGGTAATGCTTCAATGCGAAAAAATGCATCGTGTGCCAAAAGACATTACATTGCCACAACATCCGTCGCAAGTATAAACAACCCACAGATGCATGAGTGTCAGTGAATGTTACTTACGATGTAATAGCAGCGGATTAGCAAGCCCCCCTCCTTAGTGGGAATGGTAAAGTACGATCAGAATGTATATCATGCTCCTTTGTTGCAAGAGCAGGCATCAGGAGCGACTACAGTACATATTATCTGCTTCTCAAAGTTTTTCGAAACTGAGTAATATTCAAACGAGAAATGTAGGGCTTAGATAGTTTGTCTTACTGACAAAGACGCAATTTGTTTTTTTTTTCTTGTAATCTCAAAATTTTTTTGATAACGTCTTCAATCTAGTGTTCGGCGACGTGTGGGCAAGGAGTCCGGCATAGAGAAGTGTTTTGCCAACGAGGTCGCCGAATGCGAGCGCCAGATTCTGTCTGCGACTCGTTGCGCAGACCGGCCACCACGTCCAACTGCTACCTGACAGCGTGTCCAGCCTATCACTGGGCCACTACGCCATGGTCCAAGGTACGCGCCGCTTTGAGCATGTTCTCTCGCCTCTTCACATCGCTTCAGCGTTGAAATGACTCCTCGCAACCGTGTTCCATCAAAATGAGCTCGGTTTAGAAGCCGTACTTCATCTTCAGAGCTATATGGTGAAATGAATATCGTGTGGTGCCGATAGTAGTGAAATAGACGTAGAATAGAGCGCAGAAGTTCTATCACTGCACGTTTTAACATTCCCTTATTTAGTGCGTGGATTCGTGCGCAAGGAGTGAACAACATCGCCGTGTGTACTGCGTGAATAACGCAGGAAGACGCGCCGCCCCACGTATGTGCGACTCAGCTCATGCTCCGCCCAGTAAGAGACAATGTGATATTTCCAAGTGCCCTTATGAGTGGGTTCCCGGACCGTGGAACACCGTAAGTGTTTTGAATGTGCAAGGTTCAGTTTAATGTGTGAAAAGACAATTGAGCCATTTCCAGTGTTCCAAAACATGCGGAAAGGGCACCCAGTTTCGCTTTGTAGAGTGTCGTGTAAAAACGCTAAACGCTACTAGGAACAGTGAAGCAGCCGTGCCTAAAGTGAGCGTTTTAGTGATTCATACTTATTAATATGAGACTAATTAATTCTTTTTCAGGAGAAATGTGATGCACTACCAATGCCCATCGAATCCCAAGAGTGCGATTTGAATGCCTGCGAATCCGAATTCCAGTGGCAGATCGGACCATGGGGAGCGGTACGTATTTAATTCAGTTTTTAAAGAAAAACGCTGAAGTGTATCAATACATTTTTTATTGAAGCTATTTATTATTACTTCATTCTCACCTAAGCTAGTCTGAGATAAAATATAATGTTGAAATGTTGGAGTGGGGCCATACTCAAACATTTAAACTCAGGCGAATTGCAATTATTTGAGTGAATTGAGGAACTTCGGGCTGATTCGCACATATGCTAATCGTCAGACATGTTGTGCGTATGGGCGCATGCAAGACGGTGCTGTCCAAGTCATAGACGATCAGTAACGGTCGCTGAGGCTAGGATCAGGAATCAATCGTCATGTTTGCGGCTCCCCCACTTTCTTCACGATTTGGGGCGCGGCCGCGGCAAACCCGGCCGAGTCGATAGTGCCCGCGAACTGTGTGGGTAAATTTGAAAACGCATCACCACCACAGTTCGCGGGCACTATCGACTCGTCCGCGCTCGCCGCGGCCGCGCCCAAATCGTGAAGAAAGTGGGGACGGTTGCCTTATTCGTGATCGATGGCGTATCTAAATGCTGGTGCGCCGTTACGATCGACGAACCGACTATGCATGCCGCCCTATGGAGCCCATAGAAAATATATGAGAAATGAAAGAGCGGCAGTCACACTCACGATCAACAACGTTTAGAGTCCGCGATGTACAGTCGAGATCCGAAAGTTGGGGTAGGCGTGTCACCGGAAGTGACGTGCACTTGATAGAAGTTGCGTGGATAAGCTGTTGCCAGCATGCTTTGCTGATATCCAGCGATGTATTGGAAGCAGCTTATCCACATAGCTTCTATCAAGTGCACGTCACTTCCGGTGACACGCCTACCCCAACTTTCGGATATCGAGTATACATGCGATTAGGCTATGATTCAAAAGGAAGTGTGCGTGATTAGGCGGTTAGGCGATTCATGCGGTTAGGCAATAGGAAAAAGGATATATATCGATTTTTTGCCCTCCCTCTGAGCGATCGCCTAATCACCTAATCGCCTAATCACTGAGTTTCGGGCAAAAAATGTACACTACACATCACCTGTTTTGGCGGTCAAGTTTCCCTGTTCCTTTCTCACAATTGCAATCCTGATTATACTACTGTATCAAGAGCATTAAAACAGTATGAGATAGAAGAATGTTAATGACTTCACGCTGGACTTTGCCTAGAAGTTTGTATGACTGAAATGCAGTCAGTTCATTTCTGACCAGTATATTTCAGTGCTCTCAAACCTGTGGACAAGGTGTACGACGACGTAAAGTGCGTTGCTATAATCGTATGGGAGTGTTGGTGGCACGTGGTAATTGTGAGAAGAATTCGCCTCGTCCTCGTCGAACACAAACTTGCTTCCAAAGAAATTGTAAGTGTCGTCATGACTTTTTCATTTGAAGTTGGCTGCAGCCAAAATAGACTGGTCGAAAATCTTCCATAAATTGTCAGCGCGTTTAATAGAGATTTTCAAAAGGAAGGGAATTTGAGAGGTTAGGCCTATTCTTTAACTAAACCTGCATATGCCTACATCTTTGTTGTCCACAACTGTGCACATATTTCTTCACCTTAACACTTCTATTGACAGGTTTGCCAGCCACTTGCCAAGAGATCCGTGCACAGAATATTGTCTCACATTCTGTCGATGGAAATTACACGGTACTACTAGACGGATTCCCGGTCGTCGTCTATTGTCACCGAATGAACGAAACGATTCCAAAGTCCTACATCAACCTGAATCCTGTAACGAATTTCGCCGAAGTGTATGGAAAGCGGTACGCAGCCTTTTTGACACAATTTTGTTTTCATGGAAGAATAATTCCAGCTTAATCTACCCTCATACTTGCCCATTCAATGGCGAAAGGAATGATTCATGTCAGTGTACCGATGACGGCGATGCGAACGCCGGTTTGACCCATTTCAGAAAAGTTCGAGTCGATTTGCTCAATCGCAAAATCAACAGTAAGTTATGCATATGCATACAGTTACGTCTTCGATAGAATTTGTCACTGTTTGCTGGATGATTTTCCCTGATCAACGTTTACAATTGCTCGTAGTTTCCCGTAACTTGTAACGTATGCTTTCATTCTTCAACTGAGCCCACCTCTAAGT